GGGGGGGGGGGGCGGTTGCACAGAAAGAGGGCTCATTCAACGTGTTGGTTGGAAGCGGGTTGGTGGGGGTGAATCATTGGGAGAGGATTAGGGTTCATAGTACTTTAAAGTTTATACACACAACGTCACAGAAGGACAATAAAACCGCCATGCAACCTTGGCGCTTGGGTTTTGGGGGTTCCACTTGCACAACACACAATGTTTTTTTTTCTTTTGTTCTGCGATGGTTTGGGGGTTTGATAGGGTTGGGGAGTCATTTGTTGGGAGGGTGTTGGTGGGTGTCATTCAATTGGGAGGGGGAAGAGAGAGAAGGGTCGTTGGCTTAAAGGCGGTTGGGAAGGGACATTCATTGGGAGGGGATCGGGTTCGATAGACACAAGCACAATACAACACTCACAGAAACACCGATACATGATACAAACGAGATGACGGCAAAACGTGATGTGTGTATGACAAAATGACAACACAGTCGACATGACAACCTCGCCAAACACCCATAGTTTCCAAAAAAAAACGCAACTCATGACGCTGCGCAGGAAAAAAATACTACAACCATCTACAAGTTCTACAACTGACAACGTACGGCAAGCCCGAAACCTAACATCTAACAACATGAAAGTAATGTACAAATAAAAGGAAGATAATATACAAAAACATGAAAGTAAAAAACTAATCTACCCTGCTACACAAGTCCCCATCTCCTGCCACCGCGCCTGGTATGAGTGTCGTGACGTGCTCCGCTCCCTCGCCCTGCCCATGCTCCTCTCTGCCCACTCTGACCCCTGCCCTGTGGTGCTCTATCTCTGCCAACGGGTGCAAGGTGTGAGCCTGCCGCGGCCGCTGCTCTCCGATGCCTTTCTCTGCGCGCAGCAGTCTCGATGGGCTCCGTCTCCGTGTCCGCCTCCTCGGCCTGTGCCTCCGTCTCCGACCTCCTCTCACGCTCTTGAATCAGCTCCGCCAACCGCCGCTCCTCAACAGCAATCTCCACGTCAATATCATTGATCGAGCCATGACGTCTCGACCCCTGTGGCATATGCAAGTCATCCTCGTCCGATGTGTGCGGCAGTCCCTGCCGTCTGTCCTCCATGGCTGAGCGGGCCGGATGAACATCGACCGGCTCGGTCGTCCTCGTCCGAAGTCTATCCAATCCGAGTATACGTCCTGCTGTGTGGACACTCAGTCGTCCAACGTCACTCGCACCCGCTGCGGGTCCTCCCTCTCCCGATGGTCCATGTGCGAACAGCCCCTGCCCTATGTCGTAGTCCCTCCTCAAACTGTCCGTCACTCGCCTGCAAGAAGACCACCCCCCGAAAACGCCACCTCGATGACTCGAAGAAAATCCCCGCCCGCTGCCTCGACCACCAGTCGGCGGAAGACCTGTGGCCAACGCATGAGATACAGGGCGTCGCGGTGGCTGCGCAGGGCTGCTGGCAACCCCGCCTGAAAACACTGCCGCCTGTCTCCCCAAAGACTCCCGCTCGCAGATGTCGGACTGCGATGATCCAGTCCACCTGGGGCTCACTGGTGCCCACGCGGGGGGCGAGGGCTGTCCACCTGTGTACGGGAAAGGGTCCTCCGTCCCCATCCTCTCCAGCTGCTCCGGACACAACGGTGTCGGTGTGCACTCCCCCGGTTCCCTGCCGTCCACCGAGGCATCTCCCCGAAGTAACCACCTACAGAGGAAGAGACAAGGCGGCCCGAGTCGACATGCCCTCCAGTCTCGACATCTCGCACCGACGAGGGCCTAACAATAATCGCAAGGGACATGTCAACGATTGCTCCCTCCTCCTGAACAGTGCGGCAGCTTCGTGCCACATGGCCGCGGGCGCGCGGCAGCGGGTACCACTCCCCGACACACACCCCGCACACACACACACACACACACACACACACACACACACACA